TGAAAAGCCGCGTAGCGGCTTTTCAACCCCGGTAACTGTTAAAAATCAAATTATCCTAGTTAAAAATATCCTGCATAAAAATCTGCTTAAAATACCGGTTTGAAAATATGTATGAAGCTTGCCGACACCAATTATAATATATATAAAAAATAAGATATTAAAAACCTGATAATCCTACTATATATAAAAAAATAGTTCATGTGTGTGTGTGTGTGTGTGTGTGTGTGTGTGTGTGTGTGTGTGTGTGTGTGTGGACACTTTGCATAAATGGCTCGAAAAAACCGGGTTACCAAGATATCGGGAAGGGGGATCAATTTTAGGACCCAGTCGAAAAGTATTTAGGGGTAGTCGAGGGCGTAGATTACTGCAAGCTTATCAGATTCTTAAGAAAATATAGATTTATACCTTATTTTAGCTATTTTAAAACATATGGAAATCTCCTCATTTGCATACGAGGCGCTAGGAGGCTCATTTCGAATTTTGTCGCGCTAGCGGCCGGTTGCTTTTACCGTTTTTGGGTTCGCTCTCGCTCTTCGCTCGAATTATGCAAAGTGCCCAACTTTGAGAGTTCCGTGCGCGAAGGCCAGGGGTGAAAAGCCGCGTAGCGGCTTTTCAACCCTGGTAATATATTAAAAACCCACCTACCGAATCTTTTAATTTTTCAGTTAATTAACAATTTGAATGCCAAGAAGCGTCGCTAAATCTCACAGGAAGATCGGCTCGTCAAATGGATTGATTCGTCCAAAATCCCGTTCCCCCTGACAATTGTGAATCACCAAAAAAATTTTTGATGTTTTGGAGTCGACGAATCCGGATGGAAAGTGACGACAGAGAAACAGAATTTCACAGAAAAGCACTGGAGATCCCGAATGCCGATGAGTTCCACCCACCCGAGAGTCCGACTCGGAGTTGTGGAGTCTTTTGGGTTAAATGGTGTGAATGGAATTGTGGAGTAGGTAGGTGTTCTTTGAGTTTGAGCTGAAAGGTGGGAGAAGCCAAGGGGATGCCCTTGAGGCCCATTTCAAAATGAAGAAACTGAGCATGAGCAAAGTTGGGAGGCGGGCAAAGCATTGAATCATTTAGGTCGGCGTGTCCGGGTAAAGAAGGAATATTATGAACACGCAGCCAGACAAGGTTTGAAATCTCTTTAAATCATAGAAATGAAAGTGCGAAGGTCCTGGAAAATCCAAAAATTCTCAAGAATGACCATTTCGGCATGAAACTTTACTGAGCAAGTGTTGGCTGAACAAAATGCATATTTAAAAAACTAACATAATGGTTTAGAAGATCCACCAGTTACTCTATCGGTTTCAGCTGATTCTAAGTTTTTGAATTTTCTCTGTTGGTGGAATGGAATGATCCTCACGCCACGCCTTCAGAGTTCTTCTTTAGCTCTCTCTTTCTCTCTCTCTCGCTCTCTCTCTGTCTCTCTCCCGTTCTTCTTCGCTCTATCTCGCGCTATGTCTCGTTATCTCACCCTCTTTCTCTCTTTCTCGCTCTTGCGCTCCATCGCTCACTCTCACTCTCTGTATCTCGATCTCTCTCACGCTCGCTCTCTCATACTATGTCTGATAGTCTCGTTCCCTCCGTTCTCTATATTCTATGAATCCGAAGCATAAGCTTTTTCTTTGCCTTTCGCTTTATTATTTTGCTACATATTTTTCCGTTTCAGCTTCAGGCTCACGCATGCAGCTCAGGAAATGACGGATGGCGCTGTGTGCATACTCAACTGAACCAACAAAAGGCATAACCACTTAAAAAGAGCTGAAAAATGTTGTATACGCCGTTCTCATCGGGCGCTGGAAGTAGTGCAGAGTTCACCAAAAAAATCAGTAGGAAGGGGGCGCTCGGAATTGCACAGAAAAATTAATTCCATTCGATATGACTGGTCATTCCTGTTCGGGCTGCTGTTGTCGCCAGGCTACACCATCGTAGTTCTTAACTTATTATATCCGTTCTGTCTTAAAAAAACAGAAATGATGCGAATTATAAAGAATCAGGTATAGTTTTTTATAGCCTGCTACGCGTTATGAAACTCGAAAAAAGCGGGGAATAAACCGAAGCAGTTGAATACTAAACCGTCATTTGTCAGAATCGGCTCTCCATGACAGCTTCGATTTTCAGCTAAACCGTCTGATGAAAACCCGCGAATTCTATATAATTCTTATATGCTGGATTTTCATTTTATTTCTAATTTTGATAAGGGATAATCGAAGAACGGAGGTTGTCATACGTTTAAGAAAAGAAGCGGATACAGGTGGGGGTTTTGGCGGAATTTATTTTGTTTGGAAATTATTGACGGTTTCCTTGCTGGAAATACCGTATTAATCTTCCTGGTATGGCTTAAATTGTATAGGAAATACTAGAAAGGAACCCAATTTAACACTTGAGGGTATAACAGTAATTAAAATTATTTTCAGGAGCCGATAGCCCTTCGATCGACCGTTTTGATGATTCAATAATTTTTGGTTAGTTCGTAATCAGTTTGATTTTTCTTAGCAAATTTTTATTTCATATCGTCTTGTGTATAAATATTAAATAGAGTTATGTTAATCCAGAATATGGTGATACCTCGCTGATGGCGTCGAAAACATAAAATAGAATTTGGTCGCCCCGATATGGCATTTTACCTTTCGTTCAGACGTCGTCGAGGAAGATCCACCACCTGATAAACGTCCGGAAGCCCCAAAAACAACTGTTAAGCCATCGATCCCTCCAGGAAATCTACTAGTTATTCGTATACTTCGATTTATTTGACAGATTTTTGCAACTTCTTTCAGATTCCCCGGCTCCGTCGAGTCGTGACGAACGTCCAAAAGCTATTTTTGCCACTGAGTTGCAGTATGGGGCGGGAAATCGTAATTTTTTACATCAACTTAAATTTCAAATAATCTTACAAGTTTTACATGACACACATTTAAAAATTTAGTGACATACAAGAACGATCCGGCAAAGGACTTCTTCGAAATTTACGAAACCTTAAACGATGGGACGAAGAAGATCAGACTCATGCCCAGGTGAGCCATTTCAAAAACATGGATTTTAGGTTAAATAATATTAAGATAAAAACGCGATAAACTATCCATTTTTCAGAAGTTTATTTGTGAAAAATGGCACCAATTTCGTCCCAAAAAATCAAACATTCACCAATCGTCTATGGGGCTATTCGCGGAAATTGGAGTGCTTGAATCGTAAGCTTTTCTTGATTATGCTTTATTTTTATTTTTATTATTTTGGTCATATTATGCATAATATTATTTTACAAAACATGCCTATTCAGTGTTAGTTTAGTTACCATACCCCGAAATTCATCCGAACGCTATTTGGAGCTAGCTGATCTCGTTTGGCTCCAATATGTGCGAGACATGGTTTTTGCGTACAATTCAGTGCCATTTTTGCTTGGTGGTACACTTTTGGGTAGGTGTTTCACATCCTTTTAAGCTTTAAAGGGACGCTAAAGGCCACAGATTTACTCGAAAGAGTCAAGAACAACCAAAAAAACGTGCTTATCGGCCTTTTTGCCTCCGTTGTAACAATGCACAATCTCGTTTTCGAAACTACGCTTTTAAAAAAAATATTAAAATAGGCTTGGAATCCGCCAGTCTCCTTTAAAATACATGATTCAGGCTGGCTTCGCGAATGCTCATTAATCCCCCATACTATGGACCTGGATTTCGCCATTTTCGAAGAGGACTTCCCGTTTCAAATGGTGCCCGATCAGCTAAAAAGGCCGCAGCCGGGCTTCAGGTTGTGGCGCATTTTAGGAAAGGTGCATTTTTGGTATTACGTGAATTGCCAGCACGGGGTCTGCGCATTTTTATAAAGACTGGAGCCAGAATTAGCGGTAAAATCCTCCCCAAACTTCATGTTTTCAGCCTGGGGACAGCTACGAGCTCACCTTTGCCGTAACCACCAAGAAATTGACATTTGGCCTCGATGTTTTTACCGTATATCGGGATCGCGTGAATAATTTGAATTACGTGACGATGGTGATAGAGGATCAAGGGGTTATTGGGAAGTATCGATCCGAATATCCTAGGTAAGGCTCTTGGATGCTTTACGAAAGTCACAGTTTTCTTAATCAGAATTCAACTTATTTTTATTCAAGTATCTTTAAGCTTTTTTATTTTCCCGACACACTTAAGCGTTTTTGAAAACTAGATTTGCCTCAAAATTCTCGTGAAAATGTAAAATTTGTCGTATTTAGTTTCGAAGCGGATTTCTGTACTGCCGAGTTGCTGGGAATGGTCTTTCACGTTCCATGCAAACCAGAGCTTATTTTGGAGGTGAGTTTCAAATCAAATTTTTTATCAATACTTTTTAGGCCGACTACGGTAAGGAGTGGCGGAAAGATGTATCGTCAGTTGGCTATTATCCGACGCTATCAAAAAATGTCAAATCTAACGGATCGTTTAATGCATCGGAAAAGTGGGATTTTCGATAGATTTTCTTAAAAGTTCTGAAACAGCTATCATTAAGCCTTCGCTTCATTTTTAATCAGTTTTAAACCTAGTTTTTTAGGGCTAACGTCATACAATACTATTGAGAATTCTTCAAAAGAAGGCCAACTACTTAAATACCGATTCCTTTAATTTTACAAGTCCGTCGCATTTCTTACGCTTTGTTTTGTTGTCGCGGCATTTCATAAACATATTTATGTACTATGCACTTCAGAATCAGCACGAAGATTCGCAAGAAAAACAAGTCATCTTCTTCTCTTTGGGAAATGGGCGGAAGGGGCCAAAAAACGGTTAAGACAACGTTTTTCGGAATAGATGCTATACCCGGAAGACGCTGACTAGAACTCAAGACTTCGGCTTCCTCTTGCAAATCGCATTATAGCCATGGACATTATCCCAAAAAGCGCCTCATTTGTTGTTCTCTCTCTCTCGCAAAAGTTGTATTCAGGCAAATTCTGATAGGTGTACACCCCGTTATTACTTTTCTGCGTTTTTTAAAGATCAAAGATCAAAGGTAAATGATCAAAATCTGGCGGTTCAAAATTTCGCCGCTTTTTTGCACACGGCATTGTAGCCGTTTTTGTCGTAGATGTCGTCCCATTTGTTTAGGTAACGCGAATCGACATCCCCGTACTCGTTGTGCCGCGTCGTGTAGATCTGGAAATTAGGTCCAGCTGCCTATGGATAACAACATTTTACTGCCTCGATCAATTAAAATCGCGGGAAATAAGGCTTTACAATTTAATAGCAAGACTAATAAGATAAAATTAAAGTTAAGTAATCCACATTTTTCTCACCTGGACCCACGGTTGCCCTTGGGGTCCATAATTATCCGGTTGATTATCGGCCCATTTTGTGTAGTCCCATTTGGTACCGTCCGTCCAGACAAAGTCCGTCTTTCCGGGTCCCGTCTGGAATCACAGGTTGCCGATAAAATCATATCTCTCACTCGTTTTCCACCAATCCATGTGCACGCCGTGGTCCATTTAGAGAAGTCGTCTTGGATGTCGAGGAAGGTGTCGGCCATTTCTGAAAAAGAATTTGCAGAAATTTGATAAAACTTTCCCAGAATAAAGTCATAACTGTTAACTATTATATTCTACGTTAAATCTAGAAAGTTAATGGATATTTCATACCAACGACTATTCGATTCTCTTCATCGGAATGAATTGACGTCAGATCCGCACCAAGGGATAGACAACGCTGATGCGCTTCTGGCCATGTGAAGCCCGAAAAATTTCCGATCAGCTATAAAAATGTGATATTTTGTATAAAACAGAATGCCTTCTGTAAGATACCAAAAGCCGACTTACCTTGTAGCAACTCTTCAACTTGGCCGAGTACAACCACTCGTCATCGCAGGGGAAGACTTGTTGCGGTTTCTACATCAAACAGAACGATAAATTTTCTGACAATTTTTATTTTACCGGATCCTGGCCAATACAAGCAGTCGCATAGCTACCACTCTCCACAATATCCCATCTTCCATCCGATAATCGGAGCACCGGGTAGCCGGAATTGGCTTTTGCTGGACGAATTTTTATAACAGGATCAGAATCTTTTACGATTTTGAAGATTATTATATTCTGACGACGAGTTGTCATCCCATTTAATGGAGGTACCGTTCCAATACCCGCCAAGCCATACCCTGGCTGTATTGTCCTAGAAAGGTAGAAATTACATGCAAGCTAAAGGCAGTCCCAAGCACAAGCCTAAGCCCGGGTCTAAGCCTGAGCCTAATAAGCCTAAGTCTAAGCGTAAGTCTAAGCCTAGGCCTAAGCCTAACTCAAAGCCCATGGCTAAGCCTAACCTCATGCCAATGCCCGTGCTAAGCTTACGCATTTCTTCGCCCACGCCGACGCCCAAGGCTAAGCCTAAGCCCAAGCCTAAGCCTAAGCCTAGCCTAAGCTTAAACCTGGTTTGAAGCATAAGCAAAGTTTACTCCAATCTTCTTCCTCGCTTGATCCATCAGTGCCATATTGTCAAAAGCGTTATGTAGAGAAGCACCGGCTTGGTGGAAGCTAAAATCACCATATTTCCGGGTCTATACTTCGTGTTACTAAATTTTTGATACCGTATTGCCGGTCGTAATCGATTCCACTAGCTAAAATTCACCCACTTCCAGCAATAATCCATCGCCTCCGTCCTCAGCAACTTGGTCGGATAAACGGAATAACAATTCTGGCCTGATGCGTCTCGGATCGAGTCTCGAGGGCAGAAACCGCAAGTAGGTTTTGTCAATAAAAATAGCAACCAGATTAAAGCCCCAGATTTCATCGCGCCCTAACAGTCCGAGCAATCAATGTGCGTGCAAATTTCCAGCGTTCTCTTGGCTTAAAAAGTGCTTATCAGCCCCCACAGAAAGAATAGGCCTGCATAACACTCTTTTTCGGTCCGGCGCTTCGATCGAAGTACGGAGGGATTGTTGTAAGAAAGGTGTGGTCCTGCTATCTACCCGGAAATGGAAGGGCGGCACGGAATTGTTGAAAAGTCAGGAATTCCGATGACTAATTCTTTACTAAAACGAGATAGCGCGAAAGAACGGCTTGTTATCTTGCTGGAGATAACAGGAAAAAACCTGGCTTCAACAATTCAAAAGGGCGTTGGCCGATGAGCATTTTGGTGAATCATTCAAAAAGGACTTGGTGAATTTGTTTTGATTTTCCCCTTTTGTTTTAATGCTAAAACAGCACATCTTATGGTAGTTATTCACTAGAAACTTCATTTGCGCTAATTAGGATGGTACACGAAATTAGATAACGAGAAATTTATTAAAAGTCCTGCCGATGTCAAAAGGTTGCAGCCTTCTTGCAAATGGCGTTATTGCCCCGTGAGTCAATATAGATGTCGTCCCATTTGTGTAGGTATTTCGAATCATTGGGGCCATATTCAATGTGGTGGGTGGTGTAAATCTAAAAGACGGCAGCATAAATTTTCAGCCTGTTTCCTCGTTTCTTCAAAGGGTTGACTAATTACGCAATGTAATCTCGTGAGTTCGGATCCTGGGTGGATTCAATTTTTTGCTTTTTTGGTAGTTTAGCAACAAAACATATTTACGGCTCTCGGTGTGCGAGGTTTAGGCCTGGCTCCCGCTCTAGCGCCGCAGGCCAAAGAAAAGTTCCTTGGCCCAGGTTCTTGTGCCGCAGGCCAAATCCTGGAGAAAAACCAGTAACTAGCGCCGCACGCACAAAGATTCTAGGCCAACGCTGGTTCTGGCGCCGCAGGCTAAAAAAGAAGGTATTCAAGTTCATGGTTTCTAGACGCGGTCCAGTGGAAAAAAGCCGCGAAGTGGTCTTTTTTCCACTGTTGTGATTATAAAGCAGAAATAAACATAAGTGGACCAATTACAGATGTTACGTCACAGCTGAATTATAGATCATTGACAATTACATATGATAGCAATCTATCTCAACTCACATGAACCCGCGGCTGCCTCCCATCCATATTGTCCGGCTGCGTGGCGGCCCAATTCGCATAGTCAAACGCTGTGCCATCCGTCCAGGCAAAATCCGACAGTCCGGGGCCATCCTCAACATTTTTTTTTTTATCCCAAATTTATAGATTTCAAACTACTCGGTATGCCCCAACCCAAGTCGAAGCCGTTGTCAAATTGTTCAAGTCGAAATTGAGGCCCAGATAGGTATCAGCAAGTTCTATAAGGCGCCGTTTAAAGGATCGGATAAAGCATTTTATATGTAGTCATCCTAACATACCGACAACGATCCTATTTTCTTCATCAGAATGAATAGACGTTAACTGCCCTCCAAGTGACATACACCTCAAATGGGCTTCATACCAGGTGAAGCCGGAAAAGTTGCCGATAAGCTGAAACGCCATAAAGCTTTTTGCGTGATCTTGTGTTTTACCTTGTAGCAGCTCTTCAACTTGGCCGAGTACAGCCACTCGTCGTCGCAAGGAGCCCCCTTAATCGTACCTTACATATACCTTTGGTTACTAGCAACCTGATCCTGCCCAATACAGGAAACCGCGTAGCTTCCGGTCTGCACAATGTCCCATTTTCCGTCTGATAGGCGGAGCACGAGGTAGCCGGAATTTGCTTTTTCTACAAAAAAACTTGAGGTCAAGGCAAAAAATTTTCATACTATCGATTAAATTATTATATTCAGGCGCCGAATTGTCATCCCATTGAATTGCAGTTCCGTTCCAATACCCGCCCAGCCATACTGTTGCTGTGGGATCCTAAAAACTGGAGTTCAAATGGATGTCACAATGAAAGGGCTAGGACTACAGGGTGGCTAGAAAGTATTTGCCGCAGGGAAAGCTCCTTAAGAAATTCTCCGTGTCCGGCTTCTTTGCCATTTTATAACCAAAATGTAGCAAACAGACCCCACTTTACGACTATCAAAAAGACTAACACCCTAGACCTCAGATTTTTAAGATACGGTCCTTTAGAGGTGTATCCAAACATGGGCCTGCGCCGCACGTATTTTGACTTTAATGTTAATCTTTTCAATTTTTGCTTGCAACCAATCAGAACAGAAAGTTGGATTTTTGTTTATTGCAAGGCCCTTTATTAGACGTATCATCCAGAAAAATCCGTTCTAGCCGTATCGAAAAGCTTTTCGCTATTTTCTTTAGCGCCTAAAATGGGCGGAACATGGTGTTTTTGGAAGCACAAATACAAAATGTCTTAAACAACCACGTTTTTATGCGGAAAATATTATTTCTTTTGTGGACGCAATAAAACCAACCGCGTGGATAGGAAAAACTCATTGGATAGCCGTAACTAAAATTATTGCGGGCACAAAATAATAATAAGTTGCACTTTCTTGCCGTTGGTTTCGAACGATCTTCAAATGTCTGAGGTCGGCGTTTTCAATTATTTTGGTCCTAGTCAAAGTGTCAGCCTGGTAGGCTTATGCATTATCTACAGGGTGCCCCAATAAAAAAGGTCACGCTGGCATTTTGTCATTTCACATCCGATCGACTTGAAATTTTGCACAGAGGTGCGGAAGGGAATTCAAAATGTTCACAGAAACTTTCAGCCGGATCGGAACAGTAGTTTTCGAGTTATAGCAAAAATAAACTTTATTTTACGTTTTTAACCTGGATTTCGTCGGAATTGAGCCTTGGAATGTATGGCAAAAATGAAGCGCCGACCCTTTTTTACCCCAGGTAATTTTTTATTTCGTAAAATTCGTTTTGGAAATTGGTTGTTTAAATCATTTTAACAAGGTGTTATCATCCCCGATGTTAAGAAGAATGAGGGATTTAGGGCCGAAATTTATGTTAATTGATGCAAAGTCCAAAAAGATAGCCGAAAAAAATGAAGCAAAAGTGTTGAAACAACAGTATTTTGGTTATAACTCGAATACTACTGTACCGATCCGGCTGAAAGTTTCTGTGAACATTTTAAATTCCCTTCCGCAGCTCTGTTCCAAATTTCAGATCGAACAGATTTGAAATGGCGAAATGCCAGCGTGACCTTTTTTATTGGGACACCCTGTATATTTTAATAGTAAATTTAGGGCAAGCTTTCGAATTAATGATTTTTAAAATCCATTTTTGTGTGGCAGATGGTTGCCAGCCACGAATCGCGGCGCACCCCACTAGCAAAATTTTACTTTCACTTCCGTGATCCATCTAAGTCTCGCGGTGCCCCGAACATAATTTTTTAAGATAGTTTCGTTAATGGTTTCTACGATACAGCACCGGAAAAGAATAAGATATCCCCTAAAAAATTTTTCGAGGCTTTCGAAAGTGCCGAAAACCAATAAAAAAACCGAGGTTTTATGGATTTCAGTCTAATTAAAATTATAGGATCAAGCATTTGCTTGTTTTTATATATCAAGCGATAGAGCAAAAAATTTTCTTCCGAATGCACCCCACTAATGCACCTGTCGTTGGAATTTTAGCAGATTAAAACCAGCGCGAAAGCGCGGCAAATACTTTCTAGCCACCCTGTAGGTCTAGACAGCTACGGGCCTCACCAAAAGACACGCTATTTGCTGCTCTAGAGCCACAAATTCTTTACTGGAACAACCTGCTTACACCTGCTTTTAAGCACCTTACGGCTTGTTAGATCTAACACCCGGAAGGGGTGCATTCTTACGCTTCTTAGTTCCTTTAAAACTATTATTACTTCTGATGTTACGCAATAAAGAATTTGTTAAGAAGACACTCTTACCCCAATCTTCTTCAACGCCTGATCCACGAGCACCATATTATCAAAGGCATTATGAACAGAAGCTCCCAGCTGGGCAAAACTTAAAGAAAGTACAATGCATTTAGTTA